TACTGTGAATATGGTGCTGTTAGACAGGATTATATAGTTAAACATACGAGAAGAGTACATGAAACACCCAGAAAACGACTGTCAAATACTCTCATGAACCACCAGCAAATGAAGCAGAGTCAAATCACTTTATGTAAAACAGAGATATACAATATAATTCCTTTCCAAAATGAAATTTCAAATTTGTCTTCAAATGTGGTTTATGAGATTCCGAGTAAAGCAACTCAAACAGTCTGTTCATTTCAAAATGTAGAATGTAGCATAAACACATCATCAGTCCAGGATAAGACAATATTGGAGCCATCTGAAATGAGTGTATGTGAGAATCAAAGTGTGGAGGTTGAGGTTTATTCTCCAAAAACAGAGCCTTTACAACCTGGAATGCCTTTAACAGTAATTGCACCATCTGAACTTGTAGTTCCTTCCAATTGTTTAGCTCAAATAGTAGAGCTTAAAATAGTGAATGGAGCACAACAGCTGGTTCTTAAACTAATTCCTATAAAAGAAGCAACTTACAAACCTGTGAACTGTGCTGAAGAGGAACTTGAGAATCAAGGTACAGAACAATCTGCAGAAGTAAAAAAAACATCTGTGTGTCAAAATGAGTTACTAACTATGGAAGTGAATGTAAACAGATTATCCAGCGTTAGTAACCAGCCTGATTTGGATAGTACTCATGATAAGAATTCTGAATGTTTTTGTTCTTCTGATTCTCAATTCTCAGACTGTAGCTCTGTATCTGTGCAGAGGGAAGATACATCAAAATTATCCTTTCAGTTGGTGAAAGGTATTGATGTCCATTCAGGTGTTACAGAGCTTTGTTCTCCATCTCTGGTGATGAACAACACTGAAAAAAAAAGTGATCTTAAATCCTCAAGGGGAAAAGTAAATGGGAAAAATAGTTTGCATCGTGATCTGTATAGTTATGAAGAAGGTGAAGATACATACCATCCACAATATGCTCCCATTTCTGAAGGTAAAAGTTTTGAGAATGTTTCAGTAGAAGCTGCTCAGGAGGGCAAAAATTTTTCTGCTGTCTGTAAAGAAAAGGATACATTGTCTGTGAAGAGGGTTGGCAAAGAACGGAGGAGTCTACCAGTCAGCTCTGCCGAAGCACATTTAGCTGGAAAGGGTTTTGATAAAAAATCTATTACATCTTCTGAAGCAGGAAAAAACTTCCATGTTACTAAAACTCCACCTTTTGAGGATATAACTTTTGGCTTGAGCAGAGTAAAGAGACCTGAAACCGTAAGTCAAAAGAGTAGTCATCTGCTGGAATCACTAGAACTACAGAAGATGGAAAATAAAGGCAGTCCTTTTGAAGGACCTGTTATTTCATCTGTATTTTCTCTTAGCTCTGGGGCTGAAAATGTACCAGAGGATGTCAGATGGGATTACACAGCACGCAGGAAGAAATCAGCAACATTGCTGTGTAGAAAGATTGCTCAACTCATGTCTGCTGCTGAACCTAACATGAAATCCGTGCCCTTGAGATGTCAGGCTTCTAGTAAAAAGTTGCTTTTGCCTCAAGAAAGTTCAGCAAGTTGTGAGGGAGCTGTTTGTGCCACTGAAGTGGAACAACCTATGACTTTGTCTGAAGTGCATGGTGGAAGAAGTGTGATTAGTAGTGAAGAACGCAGTGAAGATCAGCTCTTGAAGTTTGCAAGAACTTCTAAAAACAGGGTAACTAAAAATTCCCATGTTGCTACCCCAGTGTTTATCCCCAAAGGGACAATGCTGAGAGTGCTGAATGCTACTAGCAGTCAAAACTCATATGGAATAGAAAACAGAGGTGAAGCATCAGCTCCTGTGCATCGCAATGAAATGTTTCTGCCTCGCCCGGTCCCCGTCAGTGTTTCTGAGACACCTAGCAGTAGTTTCCCATGTTTACCTAATCAGAGTGAACCGAGTGCTGAGTCCCAAACTATATCACTCAGGCAAAGACCAAAGCGAGAGGCAAGTGCTAAAAATAACAGCAACCAAACTGGTGTACCATTTCAAAAAAGCAGTGATGTAAACAAGCAAAGCAAGCCCTATTCAAGAAGTCAGCCAGGTCCCAAAAATAAGGCAAAACAAGCAAGCTTCAGAGAGCTTCCTAAGAGGAAAACAAGAGCTCAGTCAGAAACCACTTCGGGTTCTGATACGTCATATCTGTTGACAGCAAGACGTCTTCGACTTGTTCCTCTGAAAACAAATCAGTTGATAAAATGCCCTCGTCGTAATCAGCCAGTTGTGGTACTAAACCATCCTGATGTTGATTCACCAGAGATAATTAATGTCATGAAGACTATCAACAAGTATAAAGGTCAAGTCCTGAAAGTAGTTCTGTCAGAAAGGACAAGTAGTTGTCTTGGTGTCAAGCGTTATCGAAAACGTCTTACTCTTCAGAATGCTGAGACAGGAAACCAAACAAAAAAGCAGAGTATGCTAAAAATGAAGCTAAAAAAGACCCACAAAAACAACTACCAAGTGGTGGAAACTTCACCAGCTGAAGCACTTCAATGTCTGTTTAAGTGTTGGTTTTGTGGAAGAGTATATATGGACCAAGAAGAATGGATAAGTCATGGACAGAGGCACTTAATAGAGGCAACCAAGGGTTGGGACGTTCTTTCTCTTCAAGCAAGAAAATATTAAGTGAGAGCCTAGGGGAGGTTTCCCCTCTTGCTTTTAATGAGTGACACTAACTTGCTTGGAATGGAGGATGGAAATAACTGCTTTATTTTGCCAAAAGTCCTCTACTGTTAGCAAAGTGAAGAAGAGAGCAGAGGTATAGAGAGGTAGAGAAGCTGATAGTGAGGATTACGCACTACTTTGCACTCTTGTGTTTGAAATTTGTATTGGAGGTCAGCTTCATCTGTTCCATAGAAGAAATTTGAAGAAGATTTGCTATGCAAACATCTTTCTAGTTAGCTTAGGATACTGTGCTGTATATGGTTTGTGCTAGGTATGTATGGATTAAAATCTTAGATGATGAGTTCTTTGTAAATTTAACAGGATTTAATTGGCTTTATTATAGCATGGCATTTCAGAGATCGAGCACATCTGTATGGAAATGCACCTTTAGTCCTCCGTGGACAGCAAGTGTATGTTATAGGTTTTAGTGGCAAATTAAGCACTACACATAAAAAGTAAAATTTAAATGCAAGTGCGCTGTTTCAGTGAAATAAAAACAGTTCTGCTGACTTCAGAGGAGGTACAAGGGTGTAAATGAAAAATCTATGGAATCAGTTACTCCTGCTATGTCAAATAGCACTAAAAAAATTAATTTTGTTTAGTACTGAGTCTTTACCTAGACTGTATTGTGTAGATGCGAGGGAGCAGAACACTGTCAGGATTCTGTACCATCAAGCCAGAGATACCATCAGGCTTGGGCTGATAGTGAAAAGCGCTTCTCTGTATGGCCTGAAGGCTGTTGTGAAGTAGTATTAGTCAAACATAAACCCTCTACCACCTTGTGTGTGATAGAAGCACTTACAGACTCGGTATTTGGTTAGAACTCTAGTTGGTGAGCATATTTACTGGGGAAGTTGTTGATGACTTTTCAAAATGAAAAGCCACGTTGCACAACTTTTACATTGACAGTGTTGAAACAGATTTTCAGTGCAATCTTTCATGATGCTTAAGAATTTAGGTGTTGTTACAATTTATTTTTTGTAGGCCTCAAATTCATACAAGCATGTGCCTCATTACAGGTTATGTCTGATGCATAAGGACTTCAGTGCAGTGTAAACATCGCTCAGTTGCTTAAATACTTCTCTAAATCAGGGCCAAATTACAGTTTTTTAGTAAAAAAGGGATGGATGACACTGAAGTTACCGTTTCTGTATGTGAGTTGTGGATGTTTCTCGTAATTTTTAAATCATTTTATAGTCATACAGAATGAAGTATATTGAAGCACATACTTACAATTAAAATAATGTGTTACAGTTTTAGAAATATGAAAATCAATTCTGACTCTAATGCTGGATGTGTGTTCTATGTTTGAACTGGGACTTCTCTGGTAAACTGGTAGTCCCTAACTCTTTTCACTGATGGTGCATTTTTGTAAACAGTTTAACTGGGAATATTTTTTTATATACTCCAGCAGATTATACATTGTTTTGATAAAATATTTATCATATCTACATTGGATTGTAAATATTTTAAAACTACATCTGACTGAGGTTTATTTTCAAAACCACTTATTGCTTTCCCATAATTTTGCAATACAGTGTTAAAATCCTTCAGGTAGCTGGTGCTTTAAGTCAGATCTTTTTCATCGTGTACACATGGAAAGTTTTTGTATCATTTGTATCAGACTAACCTATTCCGCAGAATGAACTTTGTTTTTCCTGTTTTGTCAATAATAAGGAAATGACAGTTCTCATTTTGTATTCAAATGGAATTATATTTTTTTAGATGGGTACACAAGAGGGTTTTTTTTCCATTTCATATACTTTGATGCCAAACCTAATAGTGCTATTAGCATTTTCAATGGTGAAAGTAGTTTCCATCTTAAAATTGTAGTGTATCATACACAATAAATACTGAAATGTTTAACACGAGAAACCCCCATGATTAGCATTCCTCCTTTGTGTTAATTCCTTCAGTCCAGGTTACTGATTGAATTAATTTTGTTTCTGTAGAAGCTACCAAATAAATAGTTTTGAAATGGCTTTGTAAGTGTTGTCACTGGCAAAATCAGAACATGGCTCATGAAAGCTGTGCTGGGGGGATGGGGGAAGTGTTACTGCTCAGCTTTGTAAACTCTGGGTGGTTTAAGTATACTAGTAATGCTTTGTCTTCTGTAAGCAACTTTACTGTTTACTTTAGTAAACAGCTGCAAAGCTCTGTATGTCACTGCCATGATCTGTTATCTAAATTGTTAAGCCTTGGGTTTTTTATAATTTTTAATTTAGTTTTTTTTTGTTTTTGTTTTTTTTTTTTGTTTCAACATGAAAACCTTTTGTAAGTTAAATTGTGTTGTGCTTAAGAAATTCTTAAAGTAGATTATGTCATGCTTTTTTTTATGAACTCTGCTAAACTCTATTTTAGCAGCTTCTGTTTTGTTACTTTTATTTGATAAAATTATGTCAGAATAATTTCCTTCAAGTTTAACAGTCTCATCAATTTGAGAGAAATAATTTACAGTGGATGTTTTCTTCCCTTTGATACAGCATTGAGAAATAAAAAGGTTGTAAGAAAACAATAATCAACTGCTAAATTTTTTTAGAGCTAGTTTGTGCCACTACATAGTACGTCATAAATTGGGTTGGAATGTTGTGGTTTTGGGCTTGAGTGGTTTTGTTCTTCCCGTTCCTATTCTATAAGGATAAAGTAACTGAGGTTCCTTTCTGGTATATTACAATAGCCTAGTCAAATTTCTGAGTGTGGTTAGGAGGATTATCAATGCTCTGCAGAAAAATCCCTTCATGTACATATAGAATTATAGTTTGCCTTCATATACATACAGTAGTTAGGTAAGCTTCCAAAACTCAAATTGTATAAATAAATATCTCTGTATTTTTTTTTCTGGAAGAATAATCACATTCTCATGTTCTTTGCTCATATACACTGGAGCATGTTTTCTTGCTGATTTTTAAGTACATCTGCTTTTCCTGCTTATGAGCTTTACATTTGCACATGGTATGGATTCAAAGTGAATGTTTGCATAATGGTCCTACTGTATAAGTGTTTGAAAGCTCAGGTTTGGAATACAAGTATCTGCTACTTGAGCTAAAGAATAAGAATTTACCTAAGTACAGCTAGCTTTAAAGTCTCCAGTGCCTGTAAGCATTGTATGACACTAACTTCAGTGGCAGCTGAGCACAGCTTGTTGTTGAGCAAACATATGCACACCACATGAAATTGTTAGACAGTGAGAACTCTGACACACTGTTTCATGTGTATTTTTAAAAGCAAGAATATTTATTTAATGACTGTGGTATATTTTATTAGGTTTTTGCTACTCAGCGAAGTTTCAGTGACATTTAGGTAAGCAAGGACAAGTTTAATTTTCATCTTAAGTTAAGCAAATTGGTCAGTTGTCAGTGTATCAGAAGTTGGTCTCAACACCTTCCTGTCATTTAATATGTTGACATATTCATGTATCCTCAAAGTGAAAATGCGACAATCAAAAGATGGAGTAGATCTGTGGAATGCTTCATTATATTATGTGGAGCTCCGTGCTCAAAAGGCAGATCTGATTCTTGAGACATCTAAATAAGTGTTCTATTTATATCTGTACAGATGAATCAGTGACAATAAGGCAGAAGAGGTCAGCGTGACTTGAATGGATGTTTGAGGTAGCATTGTTCTCTGTGGTTTCCTGACTGATCCTTTCCGTCAATGAGTGTTATGGGAACGGATTTGTAGAAGTCTATGATCTCTTCCACGGAATTAAATTTCTGGGGGAAAAAAGATAGTAATCAGTGACTGAAAAATGAAATTGCTAGATGATTTAATCTATAACATTAAAAGACTTGCAAATGACAGGATTAAAAATAGGTAACATTTTCATGGAATTATGATTAGATCAAAGCAGTTCTAAAAGGAAAAGCACCATATTTTGGTCCTCGTATTTCTTTTTTATGTCTCTGTTGTGTGCAGGACAAATCAACTAGCTCCTTAGGGCAAAAAGGGAGCATGTCTAAGCCCTGGTAATGTAGTAACACCTATAAGAGATTGTGATGCCAGATGTGATGCCAGATCTTGAAATGATGAAGCAACCATAAATTGTTACTAACTTTTTTCTGCCACAAGTTAGACTTAATTAGCAGTATGTGATATTTTACTCTGCAAGTTTCAATGTACCTTATTAAAAATGCACTTTGTTTTCCCATTCAGTTCATTGAGACAGTTGCTATAGAATCCCTTTGAAGTATGGAACAAGAAGCATCTTGTTCTCTCATGCCCAAGAAATGACATTCTCCAAACAACTCCTAAACTGATAAAGGTATGGTTCAAGGTTGCTGACCTGATTAAACAGCAACAGAAAGCTACCCAAGATGTTTATTCTCATCCGCCCTAGTGGAAGAATCCCATTCCAATTATTAGTAATCCTTCAGTTTAAATATTTCTCTTCCCTGTGTGTACCTTCTAAGCTCTTGTCACACCACAAAGCTCTCATCATATCAGTGTTTTCCTCTTGAGCTAGTCTTTGTACTCATTGGTATTAAACCACCAAAACTGCCCACCATAATGAAAGCTTACTTTGACATTAATACTTATCACCTATTTATATAACATTTACTGTAAGCATGGCTCTTCATTTTACACCTGGTAGTGTCTCAAGGCAGTGTCTCTCACCCCCACCTGATTCACACCTAGTTTGTAACACAGAATCTGATTAACGATACGATTTGGTGAAACCATTCCTGTATTAAGATGAAAGTTATTTCATCTCAAAGCCGATATGGTAATTTTCTAAACTTTTGATAATTTTTACTCATATGCATTTGTTTTACTTTGTTGTTCTGTCTTATGTTCAAAGTCACTCTTGCTGCTGAAAACTGAGCCAAAACTGTGGTCTGTATTTCATGCCTTATGAAAGTAATCTTTACTTTTTTATTTGAATTAACTTTTCCAGTACCAATTCTTTTCCTGTTGGTTGGGAGATCAGACGGTCTACTGTAATTGTTCATCTGCTTTGGAAGTTTTATTAGGCTTCACTAGGTTAATGCCACGTTGTTCATTTTTGTAGCTCTTTGGTAATGGGTGAAAAATGTCTCAGAATTTTATGTCCTTGGCTCTTTTAATGGATCTCCATATTTTGTAAAGAGGTATAAAGACACCCAAAGATGTAAAGATGAAGAAAATTCAGTATTTGACTTGTTTCCCTTCACTGTGTGAAGATACTCAACCCATCTTTGCTGTTGTAGGAATTTCCTCTCTGCAGGTCTCCAGGCTGTTCAGGGGAGATGGGAATAGGGTCTCCAGGGTTGCTCATGAAAGGTGTAGTTCTGAATTGTGTTGGGAAGCTGGTATAACTTTGGGCTGTGTTGCATATCCTGAATGAGACCATTCGTCCCTGAGCTGTTATTTAAGCTGTGGACAAGATGCTTGTCTTGTAAACATCTCTCAGTTGAAGGTACTGGCTGTTTGTTGTGCCTCTTTTCCTGGCAGTAATACCCCTGTCAGTGGGAGGCATTGAGGCATTGTGGAAGTGCTCCCTAACCTGCTTGGACTGGCCAGGCCAGTTTGGTGGCTACTGAAGGTAGGTGGAGCTGATCTTTTTGGATCACATGGAAATGAATCAAGTGAAATGGTGTTACTGCTATGACTGGTAGTTTGAAGATGAAAAGTAGCTGCAAATGCATTGGTGAGGATGGATTATCTGTGGCTGGAACAGGGAGATCCAGAGATACACATCAGGCTCTGCTCTAAACTTCTTTGTAAAGCAGGTACCAAGCTGAAGAGGAGCCTACTTCTGCCTTTCATTTTTACACATTTTTCACTGCATTGGGAGCTGAGACTGATGCTACAGACATGCTAAAACCATGTATTTTGCATGTGGCAGATCTAGTTTTGAGAAAGAGATAATAATATGTAAATTTCATATCATGATCAGCTTTAAATATGAGCAAGGTTTGTATTTAATCATTTTCAAAAGAATTATGAAAAAAGCCAGTGTTACAGGGATCTCTGGATCTTTAACAGTGAAATTGTCAAGTAGAGGAAGGCAACAGCCAAGCAAAAGGTGCTCAGAGTACCAGTCTTGAATGTAAATTCCTAAATTCCATGTATGCGTCATTTGATGATCTGATCTTTATAGCTTTATGTAATTCAGCCTTTAGAAAGCTCAGTATGGTGTATCAAGTATGTATGTAGGTGTGAACATCTGTGGCTAAATAGCTAGCAAAAGATGTACCTCCACTAAGAAAGTAAGTGATTTTCTTATTTTTTACCTTTCTGTTTATTATATTAGAGTTTGATACTAATTTAGCTGCATGGAACTTCAGTTACTTTTACCATAAAAATCTGATCATCATCCTCTTCTTTCCCCCCCTTATGACCTTATGGGGCTACATGGGAACTAATGATAAAAGCACTCATGAGAGTTAAATGGCATTTTAAAAAATAACTGTTAATTTAAAACATTATTTGATGATACAGTATGTTAACAACTTGTAGGCTGTATAGTAAAAATCAAAGGTTGCAATAAGATAGGAAAAACTTTGAATGCTTATGTGTAAGGAAAAATGTGTTTTTAATGGATTAAAATAGACTAATTCAAAAGTGAAAACACGCTGCAGAAAATCTGTTTAGACCAAACCTCTGAATAAAATCACCAACTGGGGAAAAATGTAATAGGTCTGCACGTATTCCTTGGTGTTTAGGTTTCTTTCTGTTTGGCTTGTGAAGAGGGAATATTCAGCTAATCTAGATAGAGCAGCTAGGTGTGGCTGCACTGCAAGATGTGGTGAAACAAAGGGTATCCCTGCAGAGGGACAAAGCAGAGAGCTCTGGAAGGCTTTTTAATGGGTACTAAAAAATTACAGGAAGCAATTTGCTAATATTTCGCAGCCTTACAAAGTGTTTTCACTTTCTTTCAAAAAAAAAACCCTTAGATGGGCTGCAAAAATTGAGGTGACAGTTTTCAAGAAAGAGCCTTTTTGGGGAACCCTTTGAGGCTACCTGAGCTCTTCTGAGCAATGTTGATGCCACTGATTGTTCATTACTGCATATGTTCTTTGTGCCCAGTTCTATTTTCATGTCTGCTACTGAGAATAATGCATAGGAGTGGAAGATTACCATGATTGTGATTCCCTGGCACGACACTTAATTGACCAGCAAAGAAATTCTGGGTTTTTTTTCTGTTGTGCTTGATTTGGAAGATTTGAGTTAAAGAGAAGGAATTCTCAAAAAAGAAGGCATAAGATAGGCAGTCATGATTACAGATTTGGCCTGGTAGAGCCAAGTCTTGGATTCACTCTGTGTTGTTAACTAGATGCTTGGAATCCTTATTTTGGAGTTGTACTTTGCAATTTGACTTGTCAGTCCAGACCCACTGTTTAAGATATGTACTGTCTGTGCAGAAGTTGGAACAAACAACAAAGTCATATATTTTGGTATTTCCTGAGGTGGGAGGGATTGTGTTCTTCCTTTTAGTTCAGTGAAAATTGTTCATGTACTGTTCAAGTGATTTTCCAGTTACCTTAATTGTTAAAGCTGTTAATGTAATGAAAATTTAGTTCTATGTCTTTATTCTCTTGTGAGGATACACACATACTCCATTATGCTGTAGCATGTCTTATTTCTCTCATTGTTTCTGTTCCGAGCTTGTTTGTATTAGAGCCATTACAGGAAGACTAAACAATGTCAGAACTATGGAAAATTAAACTTGCTTTCTCCTAAGTCATACTAAAATTCCAGGAAATCATCTGGGAGTTGCAGTTCAGAAATGCAGCCAGTGCTTTACAGAAAACTGATGGTCACTACAGCAGCACTGATACCTGCAGTATAGTTCTTGGTGTGTGCAACCATTTAGCTTCCAAACTGTTTCATTCTGCTTGCATAGTGAAGGATTTTTTTTCCCCCCCTTTGTGTGAGAAAAAACAATGTCCTTGAAGAACAACTTGCCAGTAAACCTTGTTCCTCTTGTTCATGAATCCTATTCCATGTTTTCTAATAAAAATTCTAATATAAATTTTGGACCCATCAAATGCCATAAATCAGCTTGCATCATTTTGATTTCAGGCTTTATAAAGTCTATCTATACAAAAGGTAAGTTCTGCAAAGAATTGAAGTGCATAAAAAGGATATAATTGAAGATTCTGCTACAGAATTGTAATATATGTTGGTATAATTCGCGTTTTATTGTACACATATAAAATCAAGTATAAAAACATGTTTTATGTAAAAAAACACAAGCAGCTTGCGATTGCAAAAGCAGCTGCTGAAAAACCAGGAATCTGTGAGAGGATGACCCAGCAATTAAGGTAACACTGAGAAGAGGTGGGTCCACCCAAGCAAGATAAGCGCTCTGAGACCCAGGGATTAATGCCTGATACTGACCTGATCCGATTCTCCAAAACCATGCACCTCAATGTGGGTTTCCCAAAAAATTACTCAGACTCCCTCTCCTGAGAAAAACTCACCACGATTGTACATCTCAAAGCCTGCTTCCCGAAAAAACCTGCTCAGACTTCATGTCCTTCTCATAAAACTCATCAGCAGTAACTGCATAGCCTCAAGCTGAAAAAACTCTATAAAACTCAGCTCTCCGAAAGACAGTTTGTGAACTTGGGAGAATCAGTGCAACAGAGGCTGATTCAAAGTTCACCCAGCGTCGATCCCAGGCTTGACGCTGACTGATTGTGGTTGTTTCCATAACTCAATTTTGCAAATTTTTCAATAAAATTCTTATTGATAAATTTGGCTGCATTTCATTTTTAACAGAATCTTTGCAGCTTCTCTTAAGTTGGATTTTTGTCAGTGATTTGCATGGCTAATAACCCATAGGAGTTTGTTGCTTTGCATTTTTGCTCTGCAGCTGAGCATTCTTTATGTCGTGCTTTTATTTTTTTATTCTTTTTTGTTAAGTTTTGATTTTAGTTTTTCTTAGTTTTGTTTTGCAAGTATCACATTTTTATAGAGTTGACTTTCAGTTTTAATGTTTTATTTTTTCTTGTGTGAAAGACTTGCAGATACAGCATTTATTATTTAACCGTATATGTAGAATAAGAATTAGACTCTTATCATGACTATAATTGAATTTAATTATATAAAGAATCATTGCTCGTCTAAAGGGATTTTCTAATTGAAATTTACCATATCTGAGAAACTGATTGCTGGGTACCCACATGATTTAATTGCTTCTGAATATCCATGACAAATGTCCTATTGCTTCATAGCACCAGGTCCTGCTGTCAGATATGTGGAGCTGTATATATTTGAAAATTCCTTCTTAAATTATCACAAGTTTAAAAATATGCTAAGATAATATTTATACCAGAAAAAGTAGAACTTCTCTTTCCTTTTTACTTTGGAGGTGCTACTTAGAGTAGATAGAAGTATTGTAAGTACTTAGGAAATTTTTGCATTGATTTAAATCTGAATTTGAGCATGGTATGCAAAATTTGATTTTAAGTTATGTTGAAGCTGCTTGAAACTTGAGACATACTTAAAATTAGGGTATTGTGAAAGAAACTTTAATAAAACAAGAAGTTTGTTATGTGGGAGAGTTTGTAACCAGTATTTAGTATTAAGAACTTGTGAAGTCCTACATAAAAGCTACAGGCTGTAAGAGCAGATGGGGTTTTACTTACACTCTCTCCTCTGAGCCCTGTTCCCAACGCGTACTGTTGGCTTTCTTCCAGAAAACGGACTTTAATGTTGTATACTCTTCTTCCATAATAAACAACCAAAACGTACGGTTCAGCCTTTGATTTCTTTGAACAATCTCTAACCAAGAATGTCTCATCCTGTTGATACAAATTCAAATTATGGGTTGTATGGTTAGTTCACAACAAAACTTGTAAGCCATTGTGGACAGCTTACAGAAATTTTCCCCCCAGGAGTTTATATCCCAGGTTTTGAGATAAATGGTACTTACAATGTTTTTCTGTAACAGTATCTTCTCTGCTTTGTGGCGATCATATTCTCCAACATACCATTCGCATTTGTTTAAATCCTTAATTTCAACATAGCATAATCAGTATAAAAATTAACAACAACTGGCAGAAGCAAAACCAGATTGTATCTAATCTGCCTTAAAAGCACATTCAGCACAGCATATAATGGTAATGCATGTATATTGAGAAGTCTGGTTAGGAAGTGTTAATCAAATCAAACATTGAAATTCTTATCCATGGTTTCAAGTGCTCATATTGGAATAAAGCTTGTCTTTTTATGTAGCAAAGTTGGTCTTTACCTTTTCAGTGGGTTGGGTAAGAGATTGCATTTCCTGTTTTATGAGCAGATGTTTTGGTTTATTTTTGCATGCTGCATACGATGTAGGAGGTAGTGGCTTCCTCACTTTCAAATTATCTACACTTAATGTGGAACCTGTAAAAGTAAATTCAGAAGGAAAAGAGTTGCATTCTTAAAAGTTCTAATTTAATTTTACACTATATTTTACTTAGTAGTTTTGAGAATAGTACTTTTAGAGCATTGTGATATTAACCTTTAAAATTCAGAGCTTCCAGTTACAAGCGGTCTTGTGCTAATGCAGCATCAGTAATTTCAGATGAATGCCCCCAGAGATTTACCACATTAGTTTCCTGATGGTTTTTAATTGACTTCAATCTGACAGGCTGTTGTGCACATAGCAAAATAATAAACTGTTAATAAAACAGCAAATGCTGAATAAAATACTAAATATGGGACAAGGATAATGGTTCATTCTGTTCTACTTTCACCTTTTGAGTCCCTTTTATTTGTGTTGGATCCCAGTTGCTGTTACGTTGGATCACATTAAAGCTCCTCATTATTCCATTGCCAACTAGCAGTGTTTCTACCAAGCTTTTGAAACCTCAGATGATTTAGAAGTTCTTCCATGCTGGAGAATTTCAGTCTGCTCTGTGACTTGTGTCAGTTAACAGATTCAGGAGCAAGGGGTGAGGCTGCTCTCGCATTAAGGAGGAGGTGTTGGTCTTTGGCTGTGTGTGCCTGCTCCATACAGTGCTGCTGGCAGGGGCCTGGAATAGCTGAAATCCTCCTCCCAAAGCAAATGTGATTGTCATTATTCTCCCTGCTGGCTGTGGGTTTAGGGCTGCCCCTTACCAGATAGACCCAGCTCTACAGGTCTCTGTGGAGCTAAGGGAGTGCAGGGCTTGGGTCAAGAACACAAGAAGTCATGTAATATGGGAGGCTTGGGCTGACTGAGGATGCAGCAGAAACAGCCTGAGAAAAGCAAGGGCTTCCTTTTCAGTGTAAAGATCAAATGTAATTTTCAGATATACGGCATGGGGAAAAATTGTTAATTGACGATAAAAACCACCATGTACTGCTGTGTAGCAGAAAACAGTTTTGTGTGTTTCATGCAATGCTCGTGGGAGAAATGATCCAGTCTCCATTTTAAAAGTAAATGAGAAAAATGTGGTTATCAATGGCTTCCATCTTTTCCTTCAGGTTATTGTCACCAGAGACAGTGCTGTTTGTAAGGGTGGTATTTTCATTGCTTTATCTGTTCCTGCTTTGTCAGTTTATTATTTTTATGCTGGTATGTAGCATATTAAATTTTACTAGGAAGACTCTTTTACAGAGGGGCAGCGGTTTTCATTGTTCCATTCATATATGTACCCTGTTCTGATTTATAACTGCATTACTTTTGTTCTTAAAACAAGATCCACTGTTAGATAGCAGTAGACAAAGAGCCATGATCTTCAGCAGGCAGTCAGTCTGTTCACTAATGAAATCACTGTTCAAAGGGCTGGCACCAGATATCAACCTTTTGTTTCTGCAATCACTTTGACTTGTCAAAATGTTAATTTTTTTTTTCTGTTCAGCTTATTGGATCATGATTTTAGCATTTTTGTTCACAATGCATTTTTAGTGGCTATCCCCAGAGTTGTTTTTTTTTTTAAAGAGACCTCACTGCTAGGACCATAGTTGCTTTATGATCTGTGCTGTGTATGTTTTGCAGATTTTTTTTTCCTGGTATGTCTTTAAGGTGTGGGACAAGAAAGGTAAAATTCTCTTGCAATGCTTATGTACCAAGTCTGGCTGAGGTGGAACTAACAACAGCATGTCAAGAAATTAGATTTAATAAAATTAAATTTGTTCTTAAAGTATTTTTAAGCCAAATACAGACTTTAAAGGCAATTATAGGGTAGCAGGGGGAAGGCTCAATATTTATTCTCTCCCTTGCTTCAGGAGGGCAAGGAATTGACAGAAGTAAAAGGATTCTCTGCTCTCCCAAAGAGCCTGAAGGAGCAGAAGCCCTGGTAGGGATGATAGGGAGAGTCTGAAATGGTAGCAGCAAACAGAGACCTAGATGAGCTTTATGGATTATGTAAAGAAGGATTTTTAGTAGGAATCCAGAGGGAGAATGTGTGGAATTGCACCCAGCACAAGAAGGAAGCGGCTCAATGGAGGGAACCCACCAAAATCTGAGAGCCGGGGCCTGTGAAGCAAAGCTGGGGGAGGTGGGCTTGGTTAGCCTGGCAGTGACCAAAGTTAATTTGAATCCTACTTGATCTGAACAAAACATGCAGTCCATATGTTGTTCCTGGTGGTATTTGTGTTTGCCATAAGTTTGTGTTGCACACTCATGGGTTCTTGGCACAGCTTAGGGGTTTGTTTCCTTGATAAAAAGGGCGTTTGCAGAGGCAGTGACAGCAGAGTAAAAGTGTGCTATGTAGTCAAGGACTGGTGGAAGTGCATTGAAAATCCTCAGTGCAGACATACAAGCATAGCAACCTGAATCTCACTCTTACTTTTCCATGTTTAGTTTGGCTTTCAGAGCAATCTCTGGTTCTTACCTGATTTGCAGATGTTTTTAGAGCTTCGTGTACATTGAGGGCTAGGAAAAAGCAATGAATAAAAGTAATGTCAGAAAAATATTTCTTCTGGTGGCAGTGTGAGCGTCAAATTAGAGAGAAATGCATAGCTGTTCTTCCCCAGAATACCCCTTCCTCTTACTGATGGCAGCTTTGGGCCAGGTTTTGGAGGGTATTTTTGTATTTAGCGTCTTTTGACAGATTTCCCTTATTTTCATGAGCCACTTTTTCAAGTTGCATGGAATTTTGTTTTTTTTACTCTCCATAAGAGATGCACATTTTAACTGCATGTGCAGTGAAGCACAGTTTGCTTTTGTTCACTGCTAATTTCAGCTGATGTTCCCAGTGCCTTCATAGGAAGACCCAGGGAGCAGTTCTTCCTTGCCTGTTCTGATTTTCTAGACCGCTCCTGAGTGGCCAGTTAGTATTTTGTTTTTTTACACTGGGAGGAATATTGACCAAATAACTTCACATAACAGAAACATAAGAAGAAACAGAATACTAGGGGTCACTAATATGGTCATATTTACTTCATACAATAATTTTATCCCAGAGAAATGCCATTGTTATAAACAGCACTACATGAGAGATTCTGTATTTGTCTAGGAAAGATGTTAAATTATTCATATACTTACTGTGCTGTCTCCTATACTTTTGGGGTTTTGTTGCATGTTTCAGGAGAAAAGATATTACAGACATTTAGAAAGGAAAGATTTGTATAGGTTAGAAAAACAAAGTAGGTCTAACTACAGAAGATTTTTATGGAAGAATGATCAGCCTTTGGAAAGCCAGGTGTATATCCTTTGTAAATAAAAATAGAAAATGGGGGGGGGGAGGAAATGCTGGGGCTGGAGATAGCAGAGCTTCTTTATACAATATATTTTAACACCCTAGCACAGAAATAGCAGCAGAAATGTAATACAGCAGCATGCTATTAAAGATAAAAATTGGCTGTGCAATTACAATAGCTTGAAAGCAATTCCCAAAGATGGTTCTTGTCATACATCAGGGCAAAACAATATATCACTGCATGGCATCAGAAAGTGGTATCATCTTGCTGTTACTGCATAGTGAGGTATAATTTTCTAGGGCAGAATGTTTAGTCCTTGAAGCATCCAGTACAAACTCATGGAATTTTATTCCTACCTGGCTTCAGGAGGATGCTGTTGTGCTTGAAAAGATACTTCAGGTTTCTTCCCCAAACTTGTAACTATTAGTAAAAAGGATAAGAACTTAATATTTCTTCTTTTGTGTAACTGACAGCATCAAGGAACTACTGTGAAATAAATTAAGTAAATTCATACACGAGGGTGAAGCAATTCAATAGAAAACCTTAAAGGGCTGTAATCAGTCTGGCTTGAATGAGTCAGCTAATGGTTTCAGTGGGAAACATTTGGGCTAGTACTGAATGTTACATGGGGGACATTACAGGGTTTGCTCATGCCAAATATGGCTTAACATAATAGTAAATCATGTAGAATGTTGAGGTAGAAATATGTGGAGAGTTCATAAATCCTTTTTATAGGACAGGATAGACATTGAATTTATTAATGCAGTCAATTCTATTTCTTGCTGAAAATCAGGAAATGGTGCCTTAATCTACAAAAGGAAATGCCAGAGGAAATTATGAACTTATTAACACAGAGTGTAAACAGCTTGAAAGCCGTGTGCCCTGTATCTATCTTCAAAGTATTTTGGAATAATGTTGTTTGTCATGGACCTTTGTGCATGTGGACACAGTGAGTGGTTTAAGCCATTTTTTCAAAGCTGTTTATACATCTAAAGAACTGACATGTTTTTAAAACTTTGGAGGTTTCAATTTTTATTTTTAAATTTTTTTTTAGCTTTAAAAGCCTAAAGATTTTCAAAAACATTATTTCAAAATTCTCACCCTCAAATAATGGTAGAGCAGCAAGATTGAGAGAAGGGTGATATCCTCTGTGCAGATCTCTTTTGGATATCCTTCTCTTGTATTTTTAGGCACCAGCACTTTCATTTTCCCCAAAACCTTAAGACATTTGCTTAGGGCAAATGTGATACCGTGGCTCCCTCAAATAGCTGCAAGTTATTAGTAAGGCCAAGTTAAGTTTCCTTTTTTTCTGCTGCTCATCAGCAACTGTTGAGGTCTCTTGAGCTCTCTATTCTCAGCAGATGTATACTTGGGGGATGGTTCTTGTTTCAGTTAGAAATTTAATGGTAGAATATTTAGTTTTGGAATATAAAGGAAAGACAACAAATTATTATGATATTATTGAATACTGACCTTGCTCTCTTCCACGTGCCTATAATAAAATGATAGCATAGTAAATATTTTTCTTTGGATTCATAACTTGAATTTACCCCAACAGACCAAATTATCCACCAGTTTTAAAATAATTTATTCAGTCATCACCTGATCACTTTGTCAAAAACCTGGGCTGAATATTGGTACCAGTCTACCAGCAGCAATGAGAATTGAACTTCATAGAGGCGTAACTGAACATGTGGTTTACTGCAAAGATCACCATTTCATATAACTATTGTGTATCTGCTTAACTTACAATATGATTTTCCTTTCTTGATCTTGTATTAAATCGAGATTGATTATGGTTAACTGGAGAGACACGATCCAAAGATTAAAATCAGTCACTTACTTTCAGGCTCCTTAACTGACAAGCAATTATTTTTACTGTCTTGGCAGATATTTCATTCAAAATCAGTGTGGAGAGTCTTAATCCAACATATTATGTTAAAAATAAGAATGATAGTTTTTTAAATATCAGAGTTTGACTCCTAAACTTTCACTATATTTCTGAATTATTTTGATTCACAGATCAAAATGATGGGAATATCAATTATTTTGTTTGTTAATTTGATGCGTTTTAAGACTATAATTCAAAAACATTAAAGAGAAAAATAGTTTATTCTTTGTAGATGTTGCATTTTGAGCCTTCGTTATTAGTTACTTCTCCAATAATGTTTACCTGTTACTTAGGAATTTCAAGTCTTATTCAGGCTGGACAAGACCGAGGCAGGTCCTAGCCCAAGCTCCTGCTTAAAGCATGGAGAACTGTGAGATGAGACCTGGGGTCTCAGGGCTCTGACTGGCTGGGCCTTGCAAACCTCTCAGAATGCACATTTCACAGCATCTCTGGGAAGACTCTTTCAGGACACTCATAATTAATTTTTCTTCCCTATTTTTGTTTAGAATCTTCATAATTTCTAGATTGTTGTCCCTTGTACTTCCACTGTGCACTCTGTAAAGCACCATGCTCTGCCTTTTTGACAAACACCTCTCAGGCACTGACTGGCAGCTGTTGGGCTCCCCCAGGCTGTCCCCTCTCTGGGCAAAGGGATCTCATCCCAGCAGACTCATTTCACAGGGCAGGTACTGCGTGTCCTGGCTGTCCTGGTGACCCTCTCTGCTCTGACAGCTTCAGCCTTGAGCAGTACTCAGGTGTTGTCCAATGAGTGATGAGGAAAAGGGAATAGTCCTTAGGAGTGATGAGGAAAAGGGAATATTCCTTAGGAGTGATGAGGAAAAGGGAATAGTCCTTAGGAGTGATGAGGAAAAGGGAATAGTCCTTATGAGTGATGAGGAAAAGGGAATAGTCCTTAGGAGTGATGAGGAAAAGGGAATAGTCCCTTCCCTTGATCTCTTGGCAGTGCTGCTGTTGACACAGCTTGATATGCTGTTGGCCTTTATGGCTATCAAGGGTACACCAGTGGCTCATGTTCAGCCTTTGGTCCCCAGGCCCTTCTAAGCTGATCAGAGGGTTTAGTTCATTCTTGGGTAGCATTTTGCCTTTGTCCTTTCCAATTTCAAGAGGCTCCTCTCCTGCAGTGTGTCTGGGTTATGGTGAAGGGCAGTCCTTTTCTCAAACCTATTGATCTACTCTTTGGTATCTGAAGCCCTGACAAGGACACACTCTGTCTTCTCTTCCTCCAGGAGGCCTTCATATCCATATGAATGGGAAATGATCAAAACTAAATTTTATCTTTTCCATGTCATGAGGCACACAGTATTTCTCTTTAAGATGTAGCTAAACTAAGAGCCTATTAAGAGCTGAAGTATTTGTGCAGCTGTACAGTGTCCAGCCAGAAATATTAATTACAGCTGTAAGATATTTATTTTTCTTGGGAGTGTTTTCATATTTGGTTTGTAATGTATCAGTATCCAAGGCAAAAGTTTTGTTTTTTTTTTTTAAATATTGTCTTTCTTGCCAATATATCATTTTTTTAAAGCATTAAGTGTTGATTACAATATTGCTATAAAAACATGTTTTTGTCACCATCTTTCAAATTAAAGAAGCATCTAACCAAGAGGAGTGAGGTTTGGGGCAGTCTCCCAGTCAGAACTGGAGAAGGAAAACTCAATGGATTTAGAAGTTAGAGAAGTCTGTAGATCTGTGCTACAGCTTGCTGTGGAAGTAAAGTTGGGATTAACTAGTATGGATTCCTTTCTTCTGTTCCCTTTAATGAGAAAAAAAAAATAAAACTAATTGAGTAGGAACACATTAGTGCATGAAGTAAAATATTCAGTAAGAAGTTCAAAATGTTATAAATTACAACCTCTTTCCAAATTTTACAAATATCCTTTAACACTGCATGATTGTAGGGACTATCTCTTAAGTTTTCTGGGAAACCACTTGTCATAACTAAACTCCCTTTAACCATTTCCTCTGCTTTGCTTCATTGGTCTGAGTAGAAAGTGAGTGGGGAAGGAGAGGCAAAAGGGAGCTGGGGGATAGCAGGCACTGTTAAAACTGGATTTAAAATTTATCCATTTTTGTTTCATATTGAAATGGATCATCTTGTATTTTAGCTATTTATATTACATTCATGCTATTACCCTGCTCCATTGACCTTATCATTTCAGTTTGCTGCTTGTAAAGAAGTTTGTGGCATCTGTCTGAAGGAGAGTGTCTCCTGCTGCTCGCTCTTCACAGGTGTGCACATCAGGCACTTACAAGAGATGTTTTATGTGGAAGGTTGGATAGGTAGCTTTGCGCTATGTTTTTATGTTTTTATTTCTTCAAACAAATTCAGAAACTTGCCCCATTCAGGAAGTAGCAGTATTGAAATTGCAACACACATTAAAGACGGGTACTTCTGTGACACAAAGCTAATATGACTCAGTTTTTTTTTAACTTGATAGGCTAAAATACTATTACAAGAGAGGCTGTGTAGCTGTGGAATGTGTTTGGCTTTTATGGTCCTAATGCATACACAAAATGAATACTTACTTTATTTGATTCCTTAACAGATGAGTGTCTGGAAAAGAAAGAATAATACACAAAACATTTAAGTATGATAAAAAAGTCACTTTGGGTACATCATCATTGATGATTGCATCATCACTGAAAACTAACAGCCTTTTACAAGGGAAGGATTTTGTTACTGCTGTAGAAGTTCAGAGGCTGGTTATTTTTTTATATGAATTATCTTCAGGAGAACTAGCTTGGACTTCCTTAAAAAAAGAATAGTGTCCACTGAATTCAGTATGGTATAATACAACTTTGTTAAGGATTTACACTGGGGAAAAAGAGGAGAATCAACTTCAGCACTTTTCATCTCATGCCAAAAGGTCTTATTTCACCCTTTAGAGTAAGCTGTAAATGGAAGTAAGTTCCTTGAAGACTGAAGAACTTAAAAAATGAAACACTCATGGAGCTGAGAGGAAAGGAGGTGCAAACCCAGGAAAGATGAGTGGAAAATGTTCCTCATAGCCCTGATTAAGTAGGTGTTAAAGTATTTTTCTGCCTTCTCCTGATATGCCTGATCAACAGCAGTATCATCCTTTCCCTGGAAGGAAATAATCTCCCTCCAAAGAAAATGGACAAACTATTGAGTCTGATGTCTTCCATTAGATGTTTTGGTTATGATGAAAGCTTACGCTTTTTAGCAGCGTGTATCTCCTAATAAAAGAGACAGAGGACCAGATTTTACAAGCTATTTAGCAGCATAAGGTGTGAATAAGCTTCTGGTAATTTTTGGAAGGCACTGAGATTTAGTTCCTTTTTAACCTATCTCCTGGATTGAATAAATATGGCAGTGAGATGTTTTGCTTAATCAGTCAGAAGACAAAAGGAAGATCTGGTACAGGAAACCCTGGGAGCTATTTTTCAACGGTGACAAGGGCTCTCTTCCTCGTGCCTGTGTTGAAAGCAGGGACACCTGAGGCAAGAAATTTAGGAATTATCTGTATTATTCAAGAAGGCTAGGAGAAAGGAGAGGAACTCTTTTGGTTTGGATAGTTGTTTTTTGTGTTAGTTTCTTCAATTTGTTAGTTTGGTCTCCAGGGCCGTTACTATATGTGTGAAAACCCACATTCAGGACATTGGGTGTGTGGTAAAGTTCTGTGACATTAAAGATGTGTTTGCAAGGCTCCAAGGCCCTTGCATGGCTTCCTTACCACGGGCATATAAAAATTTCAATCATACCAGAGCTTCTAAGATACATTCCAAGACTAGGAACTTGCCTATTTTTTATGAAGATATTTTTTAGAGTGTATAAATAATGATGTGTTAAATTTTGTAAGTCTTCCAAATTTTGTTGGAAAACAGGACTTGCATTCCTAAATCACATCTGTGGTTGGACAGCTTTGCTTACAGACTAGCAAAGGACTGTAAGCTGTGGTGCTGTACTCCTTCCCTCTGCAGCTCATATGTATATTTTCTCCTAACAAAGCTGTATCTGGACTGAGGACGGGTAAGAAATATTTTGAGTGAAGTGCTTATGGGAAATTTGTCAAGTGCCTTTCCCAAATATTGTGTGGTCTTATTCTGTTCCACTTCGGCCTTACTCATGTGATAAAACCCCTAGTACAATAGACATGACATGTATTTATATTGCAGAATTTGGCTTTACAATAGGACTTTTAAAATCCAAGTGCTCTGGATATTGATATCTGCTGGCAACACAGATTATGACATTTCTCACAGAGCTTTCAATCTGTGCTGCCCTGCCAAGGGAGGAGATCAGTCAGGTGTTGCATCTGAATATGAAGCTACTTCTTATTAATAAAATGTCTTAGCAACCAACAGCTTTTGGAACCTAATCCATGAAAAAATTTAAGCACCATTCAGGAAAAAAAAAACCCACCCCAACAACCAATTAGAGCTCACTCATTAAGTATATAGTTAACTTTAGCAAAAGATTGTCTGCTTGATTTGTAAGCTTATTTTCCCCCCAAGGGATTTGAAGTGACCTCTGTAAAATGGAGCAAAATTCCATCCTGATGAGCTGAAATTGAAATCATTTAAGGAAGGATGGACAAGATTGACACAGCTTCTGGCTGCTATGGGTTTTTGTCAAGAGTCATTTGAGCATCACACCCTGTGTCCCCTGGATTTGTGTCATTCCTCTTCCCAGCATGTGCCCAACACTGTGGCCCGTTAGGAATGTGCATTTTGGTCAGACAGCAAGAGCAGATGTACATATGTGGCAGTGAGCAGAGTGTGTTTGTGCTCACCTGACCAGGCACATGTTGTGTGGAAAAAGCAACCAGACTCATAACATGCTGTAAGCCTGTGCAGGGTCATAGAGCTGGGCACAAGTGGTTTGTGCTTCAGGTGGCTCATCCTCACTGCCATGTCAGGATGCTGGATGACCACAGGCCTTGTGTGGCTGAGGAGTGCAAAATGGAAAGAGCAAGAAGTGTTCTGTAGCCTGGATCCATTGGTCTCATGGGCTGAAGCCAGACTTCTGCCTACAGATGAGTCATTTCTTTTTCTCAATGTAATGTCTTTGGGATGTGGAGTGTGTTTCCCCATCACTTGATTCATTAACTGTGCTAAGTAAATAGCATTTTTGTACTTAAAAGTGGTTGCAAGACCTGTAAATATTATTAAAAAAAACTAGGATAAATCTTAAAGTGTTTGTGAAAATTCTGTCTACTTTTCTACTCCTTTACATCTTTACCATTATTTTGTCAGTTTTTTTTTTTAAAAAAAATGCCAGTGTCACGTTATACTAAATACCACTTCTCTCAATTATTCACAGCTGTCTAAAGAATAACTTTCTTAAGTAAAAGCAGAGGTGTGATGGAGGTAAAATTTTGTGGTTTGAGCAAGGAGAATGTTTTGATTCTCAGGGAACGAAGATGAGGAATGCACTGTACCTTGTGACTTTTGCTGATGTTGGAAAGGTGGGATCTTGGCTGAGTGTGTTCCTCTTGTGAAAGATCTGGCTGCTTATTCTTGGCTCTGGAGGAAGGGGCTGATACTGCTTTGGCAGCATCTTCAGAGGCCTAGAGAAGTCAAAGGAGAACTTGAAGAGCTAATAGGGAATAAAGGATGTGCAGGGATTGTGAAGAACTTTAAAGCACAAGTCGTAGAAGTAAGTTACTGGAATTTTCTGAGTATTTCAATGTATTTGTGCTGAACCAGATCCAGCTCTTCAGGGCCCTTCAACAGCAATAGTAATGTTGGATAATATTCTACATTTGCAAGACATGCCTACGCTCTGTTTTGTGCCACTAAGTGGTGCTTGTGTGTGCCAAGTACAGCTCTGCAGTGTGGGTATTTCCAGGTGGGTATGGCTGTGTATACGGTCCAGCCAGGGAACACTGCAGTTTCAGACACAGAGGGTTAAAATGTTCTTCATCCCAGAAAAGTCACAGTAACGTGGCCTGCTGTTTTCTGAGGGATGTTGGCACGCCCTGTGCTCTGAGACTGGGCAGTCACAGCCCAGCTGTGACTGGAGAGGTTGGCTGGACACAACTGGAGGTGGGTGCATCCAAGGTGCCTGGCAGAACTGCCTGCAGTGGTGTGCTCCTGGGCAGGGAGCCTTGTGTGTTTGCACAGCACATACCCAAATTAAGTCAAGTGAGAGAATGAAGAACCATTCTGGCCACCATAATACAAACAGAAACAAATAGTGAAATTTTATAGAATAATGGTTGAGAATGTTCTTATTCCTGCACTATTACACTTTTGAATTTGTGAAATTTTACTGCCCTTTTATGCCATTTCATATTTTATGCCATTTCATATTCTTTAGAATCAAATCTAAATAAGTAATGCTAATCATATTTTATTTTTTTTAATATTTTTTAGAGCAGTCAGTATAGGTATGGAGGAATAAACTTGCCATTCCCAGATGACCTTTTAAAAGGATTTTTTAAAATTATAGCAGTTATCATTTGAGGTTGACCAAATCAAGAAGCAATTAATTTTTATTTGTGGGCATATTATAGAAAAATAGATTTTTGGAGTAGAGCTTGGTCTACCTTCTGTGGGAGTAAGTGGAAATATTCCAGTTGATTTCTATACATGATTTAGATGTGTAGCAAAAAGCATTGGCAAATTGATTTAAGTGAGAATGAAGTCAATATTATCTCAGTGAACAGAGCCTAAGGCACCAATAAAACTGGTGTAATATTTTTTTTTTCCCCAGCAATTTATATCTGGGTTGATCCAGATTCAATATTTCTGTGTTTTTGACTTGTCCATAGGCACGGCCAAGTTGGTTTCAAAGATGCAGGCCTGAACTCCTGCTATGAATACTTAGAGCTCATGCTTTGTTTTCCCCAATTCCATATCAGAACCTGTAAGTCCAAGGAGAGGCAGCAGTAAAAGGATGCTGGCTCACTTCCAGTCACCTCATTACCATGAGCAGCACAGATGGATGTGAGCATTCATTAGCACTGGGTTCCCTGGGGACCTCAGGTAAGTGATCTCTGATGTGATCTTACCGTGGGGGAGGTGTAGGCTCCTGGAAAAGAGAGGAAACAAAAATCTCTGTAAGCTTTTTTTCCCCGCCTTGGTTTTCTAGAGAGAAATGTGAAGAATTTAGATTAAGTGTCAAGAGTCAAAGGGTTTATGTGCTCTACAGCACAAAACATCATGCTATAACTGCCATTTTAAAATCACTGAGGAATAGAAGACATCCTCATGTGAGTGCAAGTGAGTGAGATAATGTAGGTCTGCAGATAGGAGTTCTCTTTTCCTTTAGCTAGTGCTAGCAAAATGGCAGCCTGCTTTTAAAAGTCTATTAAATGGCAGTTAAAATTGTAATTGATGAGAGATTCTGCTTACCTGATATCCATGTGTTTTCATTCTTCCTCCTAAAAATAATTACACATATTTCTTAGTAGAGTGCTACCCATATAATTCACAAATGAAGTTACAGCTTTATTCTGATGTTGTTATTATTATGGGCAGTCCAACTCCATTCCTTGTCTTCCCCTGGCTCTACCTCCAGAACTCTGCTCTTGCTTTCAGAATGAAACATTTGAGGGTGATGTTTATTCAGGTATTGTAAATTTAAATATTTTTCAGAGACTTTGTAAATATATATATGCTTACTGAGTTAGGAATACATTTTTTGTCTGTTTTTGTATTTATATAGAAATTTATAAAAAATACTGAAAACCAATGAAATCAGTTCTATTTTTTTCCAAATATACCAAAATATGATTGATTATTTAACATCTTACTAATAAAAAAAATTACTTTATTTTTGCTAAATTGAAATAATTTTTGTAAGTTCTATGTGCTGAAATCCTAACTAATGCAAATAACATGCAGCAGATCTCAAGCTCTCCTTCAACTAAACCATAGCAAATTGCTCTGAATAAAATAATGATACTGTAAACGTTTAACATTTCTAGAAAATACTGCTGAAAAAAGTTCTGTGCTATTCATGCCATCTTGTGGCAAGGCTACTTAATAACACTGGGCATGAGGAAAAAATGTTAGGATATATTTAGAAACGGTGTAGCTATTATCTAAAAATAATAATGTGCTCTGTAAGCACTATTCACTCAGGAAGTACTAAAAATATGTATCAGTTGTGTTCTCAAACACTGGAGTTTGATTTATCTGCCTGCACTGGCTATGGTTCATCTTAACATCAGCACACATCACATGGAGACATGTAAAACCAACCTACTAAGTCCTGGTGGAATTCAAAGCTTTAGATAAACTGGCAAACTGTCCTTGCCTACTGATTTCTGCGGATTTTGAAGCTGGCTTACTCTAATTTTTCTCAATTCAATTTTTTTCCAGGCTACATGGGGATTTGATCGCAGGAATCAATCTAAACTTTCATTTTCAAACTGTATAGTGCTTACTTCCTCATCATCTGTAGGAATTCTTTCTCTACATTTTGCATTACAGTGTGAAATAAGAGGGGATAAAAAGCAAATGCTGTTTTGCGTGGAATTCTTTGAGTTATTTTTCTGGCTGATGAAATTATACTACTTTCTAAAAATCAGCTGTTACAGCAAACACAAAAGGGTCACATTTTCTTGGCTTGGCAGTTGCAGTCTTTTTAACCATATTACCTTATGTTTCAAAGATTTGAAAATGGTAAGATAAAAAATACAATTTATTTTCAAAGATAATCAGATATTTAATCCTTCAGTAGCTGACTTCATGATATACTGCTACATCCAAAGTTAATTAAATATAAAAAAGTGTATAGAAACCTGATTTTAAAACAATCTTAAAATTGAGTAAAACTCAATCAGAGGATTTAATTAAATATAAAAAAGTGTATAGAAACCTGATTTTAAAACAATCTTAAAATTGAGTAAAACTCAATCAGAGGATTTAATATTTGGACTCTTCCTTAGATTATTGAACAATAAGATAGTCTCTGATTTTAGCACAAGAAACAGAACAAAAATTAAAGGTACATTTTGCACTCAAAGGATTTTGAAGCAAATTTAGGGTTAAACGTAAAGCAGCAGAGGAAAAAATATGCTAGGTGATGTACCACACAATTAACATATCCTGAGTAGGTGAACATTGAAAAAATATGCTAGGTGATGTACCACACAATTAACATATCCTGAGTAGGTGAACATTGTCAGACAACCCTTTTAAATAGTCACCCCCCTAGGATGTAAGTCCTTATTGGGAATAGCTGAAGTTGGTATTACTAGTTAAAAATAGTTATTAGATTATGTTTTACAATATATTCATGGAAAAAAACCTGAGAAGGATAGGGAGTGAAAAAGAAGTACACTGTGAGAAGTAAAGCACAACAGTTTTTGGTTTTTGTAGCCTTTTGGTGGAAGAGTTCAGGAGACATTGGCTTCTCCCTGCCCCTTTTGTCCTTACAATATGGTGAAAAAAAAAATCTGATTTTTAAACTGAAGGGTTTTTTTCCTCCCCCTGTAGGAATGGGAACTCCTGAGATAAAATATGTCTCCTTCTGTAAATAATTACTTCAGTGTTTGGTAGTTGAAAGAGTATTGCAGAATTTGCAGGATGATTGTTTTGGAAAGCAGCTGCTGTTCTGAAACTGTGTCTGTTATGTCTGTTACATATGATCTCTGCCTAAGTACAAAAGGTAAATATGGAAGTAACAATTGCTATTTCTGTTTGCAGAAATGGGTAGGTTTGTTTGTTTTTTTTTTTTTATTATACCTCTTACATTTGGCACTGTTCTCCCCTCCGGATCAAGTGTGCAAATCTGTTAATAAACCAGAATAAAGACGTGATGTTAGTCATCATTCTTGTAGCTATGGCCAGTAGAAAGGGCGCTGCTCCTGGCTGGGATGCCTCTGAGACCCACAGTCAGCAAGGGAAAGCAAGAGGCAAGGGCATTGTGCAAAGTGAAACAGGAACAGCTCACAGGAACTTGGGCCAGTGATGTGGCTAAGATTTTAAATAGCCTGCACTTTGAGGGGTATTACAGAAAAGGGGAAATCAGTTGTGAATACAGTTTAGTATCTTTACTTACAGCTGAGTGTTGAAGGGGCTGAGATGGGTTTTCACTTGTTGGGGAAGTGGTACCTGAAGGCCTTAAGCAACGTTTGTCTGCAAAAGAGGAAGAGAAAAATGAAGCCTGAGTAATTCAGTAATATGATGTTTGAAAAAGGACGGGGTCTAAATGTTCAAAATGTGTTTTTCAGGTCAGGTCTTGCCATTTTCATTGAAATTGTTTTTCCTTTTTTTCCCCCGGACTTTACAACCCTTTTAGCAGCTGTATTGAGGACATAAGTATGACCCTGGTAGTACCCTTATGGTTAACCTCACCACTGTGGTTATAAATAAGAACCTTCACAAGCTGGTAAACAGTTAAGGCAGATATTTGACCTTAACTGTGGTTAGATTACTGAATTTGTTTTTCATGTGAACCTTTACTCTTGGCAATGCTGTCGTGTTGTTCTGGTTTTGTGACTGTTGTAGGGGTTTTATTCTCTAGGTAGTATTTTAATTTTTACTTTAGCTTTTAATAAAAACTGCATTCCTGGCCAACAAAAAGAAGTGTTCATGTTGTATACTAACATGTTTTTCAGTCATTAATTTTACATTTCAAGGGCATTTTGACTGTATTTATCTGGAAAAGATGTTAAAGATGATAGCATTGAATTTTACCCTTTTGAAATATATTTTCAGTCCTTTCCTCACTCTTATATCTTGCCACATTATAGTTACTGGGCATAATACACAGACAAAAAGCAGGTTTTTGTTTATTGTGTTTTACCTGAAATCACAAAACAAAAACTTAGTCTTTTGGCTATTTCACGACAATCTTACATGAGCAACAAAAGATGCTGACTGCTAAATGAAAGTTTTTCCTACTAAGATAAAAACTGTATTTGGAATTCACTTCAGGTTTCCAAATAAAATGGAAAAATTAGTCTTGGAACATAATGTAAATATCTGGTTGTTCAGACTGATTGTGATCCTTTCACAGACTGATAAATTTACTCACTTTAATATCCATCTATTTGTTTAGACATCAAACAAACTCCCACAAAAAACAAGTAGCAAATGTCATTGCTGACTTTGATGTGAACTGGAGCAAGCTACCTGGTTTATAGTTTCCAGCCTTTCTCACCTAGGACTTTCCCCCATTTTTTTAACTATTTAAAACCTCTAGAGTGTTTATGTTGGGTTGGAGCAGTGCACAGTTAGGATGACATTTCACTTCCATAAATGGGATATTAATTGGCTCTGTATATTTAGACATTAAATGTTACTTAGAATAGCTTTAGTAAACCAAAAGGTGATTAACCTTACAAGGTTAAGAATGCTTGAGAAATACACTCAAAGTAATTGCTTATTACTGCTATTTAAAGCATCAGAGAACACCTTTAGAAAGAATACTGCATTATCATCTGGAGGAAAGTTTAGTGTGTTCTTTAATATGTTTCCCATCTTACAGGTTTCTAGGCTTAAATAGCAGTGAGATTTTCTGAAATGGCTGTGGGTTTGATCAGCCAGATTTTGCACATTCCATGTGGAATTCAATGTGGAATTACAATGAAGGTATTACTAAAATTAAAAAGCAGTGTGTACTTATTAATTTAGTATAATTTAAAGAAAATCAGGGTAATTGTTGAATACAAAGAAGGAGAAAAAACTCTTCTATGTTTTTGCCTACCAGTGTTATTTGCCAGTTGAACCATTTAATTAAAAAAACCAAACATCTGGACTGAAAATTCCAAGTCTGTACTGTTCCTATATAACTCTAGGTTTTGCTCAGTTTCCACAGACAGAAAATATTACCTGCATATTCAGATTCTTGTAGAGGTTTGGCAGGAAGGATTCTCAGAGAATCCATGGCCTCCAGCATTGAAGAAGTTACAGTCTCGTACATATTTTCCTCCTCATCGGATAGCTGGGAGGAAAACTGTAAGTCACTCATGCCCTTCATTGTCAAGTATTTGCTCTGGATAGAAGAAGAGATACACAGATAATACAAATAAATTTAAGTTCAAGATTGATTTCAGTGTAGAAATATATGATTGCCGTAACCAGACATTTTGGTGCATGGGAAATTTTCTGATGGAAACTGAAGGGTTGGACAGTAGTTGAGGAAGTGGTTTGAGTACCTAAATTTTTAATTTAGATTCATGAAATAGCCATTTGGGAGACAGTTTAATGTCTCTCTGAATTTTGCCTCTCTACTTTTGAAACATAACGAGAGTGTTTAATTTATGATCATTGCAGACATTTGAAACTGTATCTTTTATTTTAATATTATCCATGTGGTATTTGTATTGTACTGACTGTTTACATATGTTACTTGCAAGAATGTATTAACTAGCTCATCACAAATGTCATGCTTCAAAATAAAAACATACGGTGTTTTGGGGAATTTGTGCTAACAAATGTGCAGTCCAAGTAAATGTGCTAGTGAGTATGTATTGAACAGTGGAGCCCATGGAAATATGGTGCTGAGAGTGACTCAGGATGTCTCTGGATGTGTCCATACACTTATATGGGTTTGTTCAAGGTTGTGTTCTGGAGTGCTGCTCCAGCCTTCATCCTCACTCTTCACTCACTGAAACATAACTGCTGGCTCCATGTATATGTAACATGTATTCCATGCCTCTGGAAGTCATAGTTTGTTACCAACAGTGTAGGTGCATCCATGCATTTGGATCTTTGATGTTTCTTTTATTCTCAGATTTATTCCCTGATGTTTGTTTTATTCTCATTAGTAATGGGGGGTCCATAGCTTCCTGATGTATCTTTTTCTATCACTTAACTGCCCTTTCAGTTCATGCTTTTTCTCTTGAGTGCTAAAATTTAAACCAATTTGTTTTACTCTCCAAGGACACTAAAAAAATTGATTACTGTCCACTTTATTTCAAACTTTATTATGCTAATGCCTATAATTATATATATTTTTTTTATTCTTCTCACTAAGCAAATATACTTTAAATCTTTCCTGGATTGTCAACCAGAGACAAAAAGACTTTGAATCTCATATCCCCAGTGTTACTTTCCTGTGAGCTCACTCCAGGTTTTACACATCTTTGTTACAGCATGAGGCAGACCTCCAGGAAGTGTTCTTTACAGTACATTGCAGGGTGAGCTTTGTCTTTATGACAGTACATAAAAATGTCACCACACCCTAGACAGACCCCTGCAGGGTACCTGGGTTTTCAGGCTCTTCTCTGAACAACTCTTTCTAGTTCCACAGCAGACTACTGTCAGCTAGGCTGAGAGTGGCTATCTTTCCAATCAGTTGTGCAAGCACTTTCATCTGAATGAAATGCACTTTCATCTAGACCAGGCATGTACTTGTGAGACTGTCTTCTGGGAAATATCAGAGGTGCAATAAAAATCAATATACATCACATTTACTGTTTTCTTTTTCATTATTGTAGTCATATTTCTGCTGAAAAGGAAATTACTTTTAGTTTGAGGAGTTGATGAGATGTTCTTCATGTTCAGATTAACAATTCTTTGCATAATCAGATCTATTATTTCCAAAATAGGCTTTCAGATTGTTTAATAGTCTCTCCAAGTACCAAATAAATCCTCAGGATTTACTTTCTTTCTTGGAAGAAATTGCAGTAACCACTGTTCTTTTCCATAATTTTAGGAACTCAGGACTCTGGAGAATTCTCAAAGATAATAAATTAATATCTCAGAAATTTCTTAAATAATTATTTTAAGTGTCTTAGCATAAGTAAATAATTTCCTGACCATTCTTTCCCCATTCTCCTCTGTGCTATTTTTGCCCTCTATTTGGTATTAATTTCATGTAGTATCTGATAGTTATTAATCATTCTGTGAAATCTGAAGCAGTCAAAGTATTGATTGCATCAAACTTCTTTAGTCATCCTTTATTTGTCCAACTATTCTATAAAAACATAGATCTGTGCTATATTTTCATCCTTCTGTGATTAAAAAGGTATTTACACTCTTTTCTTATATGCCTGAACTGAAACTCAAACCCAGATTTTGGATACAAATGGAAAGACATTGAAATGTCCACTGTTTGTTTTTCAGCTTTCATTTGTATTGCTTACATATTTAATATTGAGATTTATGACTTACATCCTTGTTCTTAATAACTCCTGTTATTTTTACCTGATCTTATGATAAAGGTGTATTTTAGATTCAGCCCGTAGATGGAGAATTGGCAAGTCACTTCTCCAGTCTAGATCCCACTAAAAAAAAGTAAAAGTTCTCATCTGTGTTTCACAATTCTCATGCCTTATTTTGCATTAAAATCCAGTGATGGATGCATTTTTTGTATAGTATTATAGCCCAAGTGATATTAACATACATCAGGAAGTGAAAAAAAGTAAAATTTTTGGAAGAACACGTGGTACTTACAGAATGATAGGTGTTAGCAGGAATAGTTCTCTTTTCTGCATAAAATGGAGAAAAGCTGTCAGCAGGTCCCATTCTGTAGTAAATGATACAGGAGCTAATACTTATATAAAGGAATAAAACTCTGCCAACTGCAGATTCTAGTATTTTAGAGATACTGAAAAGAGGACATAAAGTAGGTCTAGCCATGAGTTTGTGGACCTACACAATGCATGAGGAAGTAGCTGTGTGGAAATGGGATTCACAGTCATGAGCATGTCTAAGCCTGCCCACCAAAAACACCCAAAGAAGGATGTGCTTGAACTCCTCTCTCTCTCTCCTGAGTTTTGCTTCTTGGTGCAGAACTTTGAGATCTGTGGGATTCCTGGTCTGGAAATCCCTCTGTGGATAGAAAAGTGTTTTTGTTCTCTTCGTAGCAGAAGAAAATCCCAAATCTGAGAGGACTCCAGCTATCAGGCTATAAACTGTTCTTGGTGGTGTTTGTCTGTCCAGGAAGCTGTCTCATGGTGTAGCCAGGAGAGCCTGAGCTACAGGGCCCAAGAGCTGGCCAGCAGAGACTCTCAACTTCTGCACTTAACCTGATCCACACATTTAATCCAGTGACTCTTTAATGCAGAACAGCAATGGTGTGACCTTGCCTGGTATGTGCTGTTCTGGACTGTTCCAGTCCTTTCTTAGGCTGCCTGTAACATCACAAATCTTGCATCTCTGGCTACATTATGGCCTGATTTCAGAAGTAGAGCATGAAAGTCCTTCTATCAAGACCAGCCGATAAGAAATAATTACAGCATGTTGTAATGCTTAGAAAAAAAGGGATAATTGTGCACTGAAATACTTTTATGCTAAGGAGAGAGTTAAAACCAGAACTACTTCTTGTCTGGCTGAAAGGCTGAAATGGTATTAAGGACAGCCAGCATCTCACAGCCCTCCCTTACAGCTGTGTTTTGTAAGAAGCAATTTTCTGCCTAAACACCTTTTTTACATGTTGCTCTCCTTCTGTGAGCCTGGTATTGCATATTTTTATATACCCCAGCAGATGGCATTGAACGTTCATTTATTCAATATATGTAGTACCTTAATCTCTTCTCAGAGGAGCATTAATGGGTTACAGGGAATGAGACTTATTCATGCAAGCTACTTGTCTGATTTTCTGTTTAGTTATACTGGTGCTAATCAGAAGTAAGCCTAGTTAAAGGTGGTACCAGGATAATGATAAAAAAGACAGTGTCTTAATTTGCAGCCTTTGTACTTCTGTTCATAAAAGAAGCATGGTTGTTTTATCCTCAACAGTAAAAAATTAATAACAGTGGTAAACGTCAATGCTATTGCCCATGCATTTCATGGCTTAATGCTAAAAGGGGACTGTTTGACATAAGCCTTTGGGGTGATGTATTGCTATCCAATATTAGTTTACAATTTGATGTCCAGGTCAGTTTATCATCTCTTCTGTAATGCATGAATCACTGGAGTTGGGATGAACTCCATCCGCCTCCTTTCTTCCTAGGCCTCCTTTGCACTGGAGCAGTGAAGGGAGCAGCACTGGTGCTGCTTTTCCATGGGTCTGCCCTCTTTGTAAGGTATCTGCCCAAATATTTGCTCTGTGCTAGCTGAGGAGTGAAAACCAGTGAGAAAACACTCTTCCTGATATTAAAGAATATAGCTTTCATAATGAAGATGAATATTTCACTCTGTAAGCCTTGCTGTACATGTCAGGCCTTCAGAATGAGAAGTACTGCACACTGTCCAGGTGAGATACTGTCGTAGAAGCTAAATACCTAAGGGGAGGCTATTTCTGCTGTTATCCATCTATCTATCTGTCTATCTATCTATCTATCTATCTATCTATCTATCTATCTATCTATCTATCTATCTATCTATCATCTATCTATCTATCTATCTATCTATCTATCTTGCTGGAACAGTCAGTTTTTTATAGAACTGTAGGCTAATTTGGGTTGGTAAGGACCTTTAAAGGTCATCTAGGCCAACCCACCAGCAATGAGCAGAGACATCTTCAAATTTTCTGGCTTTTGCTGCACTGGCTGTTGAACAAGGATGAAAGAGGGCAGAGTCTTTGTGCCAGGTAGCTGCAATCAGCTGGGCCTTCTGGCATAATTTTTTTCACTACAAGCTAAAGATCTAAAGCTGGCACAGGCTAGAGTCTCCTCAAGCTACAGGGACTCATCATGTTTTATTCAGTCTGAAAATTTTTCGTTGCTTTGCTGCATTGCCTGTAAAAATGAGAAATAGAGACTATCACTTATAATAATAGTAAGTTGTTATATTTCTGTGGCATTCATGTGGGTGTGTTTCTGCCAGTTGACAGAGAATGCTTGTCAAAGGACAAAATGGAAAAAATTATCTTGTCTTTAATTTGCAATAGAATGAAAGAGTGTGCGTATTTGTGGCAACCTTGACTTTTCATGATGACCTAAAAAAGTTTTGTTTAAAAGGGTGACAGGTTAGGTAGGAATTTGTACCAGCATCAAAAATATAGCTCTTTAAGTGGGAAAGCAGAAGGCAAATCTGTTCCCATTGGCTTCTCTGAATCTATCAGTGCACAGTGGGTTTTTTTAGTCACTGTGGTCTTTCAGCCAGTGGCTGAAAGCAATAAAGAATTGTGGATTGTGATTTAATAAACCCTGTGATCCTGACAGGGATCAGTAGGAAAAAATCCTGAAGCTGGAAATGCTGCAAGGAAGAACTGCATAGACATTTTCAGAGTCACTTTT